TCCTTTTCAGTTATACTGTTAGGAGCCCTGAAGTCCACACAGCAAATGTTGGGTCCCATCCTTCTTCTGGACTAACACAACGGAAGCTGACCAGGGACTATCTGATTACTCGACTATCCCTTCCTTAATTAGGCCATCCATGACCTTCTCTATCTCCTGTCGCTTTGCTGGAGCTATTCTCCTCAAAGGGATCTTTATTGGACGGTGATTGCCTGTGTTTATTCTGTGCTCTACAAGGTCTGTGTAGCTGAAGTCATGATCTCCTTTCGAAAAGACGTCTGCATAATTCGCCAAAAGTTCCCTATCCTGAAGAGCCTGTGATGATAACAAATGGACTATGCTCTTCTTATAGCGGTTGTATTTCTTGCCTTAACATTGACTGGCTGTACCTCCTTGCACACACACCCAACAATGCCCCTTTCTTAAGTGTCTGCTCATATTTAGAGAAATTAGCCACTGTTATGGGTAATACTTGAGGACCTGTCACAAGTGACCTTCCAATCTTCACGTTCGCTGGCCTGGATGGGTCTTCCACTCCTTCCACAAGCATCAGGCTTCCTTGGGGATGTTCTTTTATTCTACCCCGAATTATCTTCTCTGGCATAGGGGTATTGTAGTCGACTTAAGTGCTGTGACATGCAAATCAACAGAAGCAGCAACATTTACCGGAATTCGACCTTTGTTGTTCCCAAACGTCATTTTATTAAAGTTAACTACACACTTCCTCGGTAGTAAGTAGTCCAACCCTAGTATGCATTGGTCTTCAATGTCAGCCAAGTATACTTTGTGTCTGTCCTTCATGCCCATGAGCTCAATAGTTACCCACACTGGTCCCCACAACCTTGCATAATGTCCTGTCACACCACAGAGCTTCTGTATGGCTTCTGGTACTCCTTTGTGATCTAGCACCTTGATACTCACAAGGGTTTGCTGAGATGCAGAATCAATGACAAAGTTGCACTTTTGGCCATCCAGCTTTCTTGTCACGTAGACACTATGTGTGCTTGCCATTTTACACTTAGCTGTTGGGATTTTCACAATGGGGGTTGGTGGGCATCCCTCAGCACCAACCACTACTGGTTTCCCGAAGCTGACTTATTGGTAATATTCTTCTTACACTGGCTCTTCATATGTCCTTGCTCTCCACAGTTCCAACAACCTTTCTGGGTAGCAGCCTTTCCTGTCGTGGCATCTTCCCCGTGTTGAAGTTTCTGGCATTGTGTTCCCTTGTGCCCAGGTTTGTTACAGTGCCAGCAAAGTCCCTCAAACCTATCTAAAAGCTGACCTTTTCTGACCTTGATTCCTGATGACTGTACCAACCTTGTTATCTCTGTGCTGAACTTAACGTCGGATTCAAATTCAAGAGCTCTGGCCATTGCATCCTGCATAGTAGAGGGGTGTGCTTGCTTTATTTTATCTTCAGTTGTGGACTGTCCAAGGCGTCTACAAACTGATCCTTCAGCAACAGCTTAAGGACATCGGGTTGTGCAGTTGGGTAGGCCTTGTGTGCCATATTTTCCAAATCCTGTGCCAGCTCTTGCAGACTCTCCCCTTTAGCATGGACTCTAGTCCTAAACCTAGCCCTGCAGACTTCGGACTGATTTTGAGTTCCATACCTGAGCTCTAGAGCAGCTACCAGTGCTCTATAGTTGTGCCTGTCGTCTGCTGACAACTGTCCAAGTATTTTCAGTGGTTGTCCCTTCAGGCTCGTTGCCAGGTACACTGCTTTCTCCTCTCTGTCCATCCATTCATTTCTGCTAGGAGCTCAAATTGTGCTCTATATGTTTCCCATGGTGCCTTCCCATCGAATTCCTGTGGCTTCCTTCGTACTAGATCACCCCTATTGCTGACACTCATGTCTGGAATGTGACTTCTGGCAGGACTGAAGATGTCTGCATTAGGTTTAGGTCTGGAAGGCTCTTCCTGTTGTCTGGGGCTGATTAGGTCCATGGCTAATATATCCTCCTTGTGTAAAAGACAGTAAATCATCCTGTAATGTATTTAATTCACTTTAAAATGTACTAATCTTTTCCATTTATGTATGCTGGCTCTCAACTGTTGGAGACTTTCTTCTTGTTTATTTTCTTTCTCCTCCAACCACTGCTGTAGTCTCTCTTCCTGTTCATTTTCTTTTTCCCCCAACACTGCTATAGTCTCTCTTCTTGTTCATTTTCTTTCTCCTCCTACACTGCTGTAGTCTCTCTTGTTTATTTTGCTGTTGGAGCTGCCACTGTTGCACGTTTTCTTGCCACTGCTGTTGTCTCTCTTCTTATTTCTTTTCTCGTTCTTCTTGTTTCTTTTCTTTTTCCTCCAGCAACTGCTGTAATCTCTTTTCTCGTTCTTCTTGTTTCTTTTGCCGTTCTTGTATTGCTGCCATCAAATCTGCTAAGCTGTAGTTTGATTTGCCACTTCTCGTTTCCATCTTCTTTTTTCGTCCCACTCTCTGACACCAATTTGTTACTATCTGCTCGTTTGGTAATTTCCGGTAAAAATTCTTTCCCAGTGACTTCAGCGATACAAGTCCCTTCTTGATTAAAACTAGTTCATTATTTCTTCTTACAACTTTGTAATACACTTAACAACTTCTATAACACACGCTATAACTCACAGTGATTCACACACTTTACTTAAGATACCTACTGTTCGCTTGACTCAATTATCTCTATCTTCAATCTATCTGCATCTCTATCTCATCTTTTATTTGCCGGACCTATATACTAAAAAAGAGGGCGTCCCGAACAAACTAGGAAATTCACGATCATTCGAGAAACTCCTAGCACACGCCACCAGCGCCAATGCACCAGCAGCGTCACGTGACTTCCGCTGTCCTAACAATATTCTATTCATGTAAAAAATTTTACAGTGCTTACTGCTTATATGGTCCCTTTACTGAAATAGCATTTTAAGATGTTTGAAAATGCAGAAATGAGCCTGGTTTAAGTAAATAAAGCATGTGAGAGGCTTCAAATTTGGACTTGTTTTTTGGAGCATAGAAAAATAAAGTTGACATGATTTAGGTTTTCAAAATAGTTAGAAATTTGTAAAGTTTTATTTTGGTGGTTAAATGGAAAGATAATGAAT